GCATGGGGAGAAATGCCAGATATAGGTGATGGGGAGGAAGGCAGAAAATCACATTGTCATGTGTGTACCTATGCAACAATCTTGCATGTTCTTCACATGTACCCCAAAACCTAAAATGCAATAAAAAAGTGAGACACACATGTAAAGTGCTTATCATGGGGCTGTGCACATGGAGAAGTACTGGAACACTGGCTGGAATTATTTGTTTGCAATTCCAGCCCCTGGAAAGGTAAGGGAGGGCATCTTCTCTCCTTCCAAGAGAGAGCGTTAGGCCTCAGATGTCATCTAGGTCATTCTAAATGTCAGGGCTTGATGTGCGGACAAGAAAACTTCCCTCGATCTAGCCGGTTCTCCAGGTAGCCTCAGACCCAGTCATGCCTATTCCAACTGCACCTTTGACCTCCCTGCTGGGATGCCGAACAGGCTCTCAAACCCCCCATGTCCACGCTGAGCTCCTGGTCACTCAACCTGCCTCCTTGCGGTCCTCCCCTCTCAGGCAGTGGCAGCCCCGTCCTTCCTGTGGCTCAGACCAAAACCTGGATACCTCCTTGATTTCTCTCTTTCACTCACCACCCACATCTGATACACCAGCAAATCCCGTAGGCTTACTTGTAAAATATAGCCAGAATGTCACCACGTTTCGCCACTTCCACCGCCGCCACCGCCACCGCCACCACCACCCAGCTCCGAGCATCTGTCTTCTCCTGCCTGGGGCCGGGATGCTGTGGGGAGCCCTTAGCTGTCAGCCCCCTGCAGTAACTACTTCATGTGATCATTCATTTTATATGTCAACGTGACCGGCCCATGGGACACCCAGATATTTGGCCAGACATTATTCTGGGTGTCTCTGCATGAGGCTAATGTTTAAATCAGCACTGAGTAAAGCAGATGGCCCTGCCCAAGGGAGAAAGGTCTCATCTGATCACTGAAGGTCTGAACAGAACAAAAGACCGCCCTCCCCTCACTGACCCTAAGAGAATTCTCCCTGCCTGGCTACCTTTGGGCTTCAACTGAAACATTGGCTCTTCCTAGGTCTGGAGCCTGACCAGCTTTTGAGTGGACACTATACCCTCAGCTCTCCTGGGTCTTCAGCCTGCCCACTCACCCTGCAGATCCTGGGACTTGCCCACCTCCATAATTACACAAGCCAATTCCTTATCATCCATCAATCTCTCTTTCTTCTTGGCGTATTACTCTGTTCTTGGCTAAACAGAGCCAGCAAGTCCCTTCTTGGGTAGACCACCGGACTCATGTAATGCCTGGTCAATGTGGGAGTGTGAAGGCCTGGTCCCCACCCCAGTAGGGGACAACTCTGAAGGGCTGCCCTCGGAGATGTGGCCGAGACCCCCAGTCAAACTGAGCTGAGGCCGCATCACTGCCCACCTCCCTTCACTGCCCACGCCTGCTTGTGGCTCCCTCCTTCCACAGGTGCTGGTCCAAGAGCACCTTCCTGGACAAGCTGACCTGTGACCCCTGGATCACTGCATATCAGCCCCTAACCCTACCGCTCCATCTACCGTGTCCTGCACCACAGCCAGGCAGATCCTGGTAAAACCAAGTCAGAATGCCACTCTTCCACTGTGGCCCTGTAGGGCCCCTGTCACTCAAGGGCACCCCACAGTCCTGCCTGTGGCCTTTGGGGTGCCCACGACCTCCCTGACTCCACCTCCTACCATCATCCCCCATGCTCCTCTGCCCCAGCCACTCTGTGCCATTTCTCAAACACCCTGGGGTGATTCCCATCTGAGGCCTCTGCACACGCTGTTCTCTCTGCCAGGCATGCCCCACCCCTAGGCACCTTCCTCACTTTCTTCAGAGCTTCACCCAGATCCCACCTTTCTCAGTTTCCAAAACTGTAATTCACTTTTCTCCTTAGCATTTATGACCCTCTAACTATCTTTTACTTGTTTGGTCAGTTTTCTCCACTAGGAGGTCACCTCCACGTGGGCAGAGACTTCATTTGCTATACCCCCAGAACCTAGAAATGTGTCTGGCACAGAGTAGGTTCTCAGCTAATATTTGTTGAATGAATGAATGAATGAATGAATACAAGTTCGGCTTACACATCTAAGCTTGGGCATTCAGGTGCTGCTGCCCTGGGTGAAGTTCAGGATCGCCCCATGCAGGCCTCTTTGGAAACTCTGCTCCTCCTCAGCATCCCCCCTTCCCAGAGAACTACCCTAAAATGGCAGCTAACATTTCCAAACAAAGCTTCCCTCCCGGCCTGGCCTTTTTTAGAGCTAGTGCACTTGGCACTGGCTCTCTGACTCATGGGCAAGGCCCCCACCCGCAGCTGCTCGGTTTACAGAATCCGGCAGTGGGCACAGAATGGTGGAGATGTCAGGAGAGAAACTTTCCATAACTATTTGGGCCAAGAGTAATTGCAGAGCTCTCCACCTCGTTCCAATCCCGAAACGGTTTCTGGACACATTTGTCAAACACAAGGACTGATGAAGCCTTTCACTTAAGCACTGACCACACAGGACATCGTCCCAAATGACCGAGATGACAGAGCCAAGAGGATCATGCTGGGGAGAGGAGGAGGCTGGCATTTACGTCATCAGGCCTCCTTCCAAGCATCCTGCTGCTGCTGAGCACCAGGTCCTCAAGGCCAAAGACCAATGGAGATACGGGGGTCCTGCAGAGCCAGCTACCCCCACTAAGCTCCCCTGGCCTGGACGCCTCTCCTGCCTGCACAGTTCTCCAGAGTGTAGCTTGGCAACGCCTGCCTGCACTTCATCCTAGCTCTGCCAACCTTGGGCAAGACAGCTAGCCTTTGGGTGCCTCAGTTTCCTCATCTGTAAAGTAGGTAAAATAAGAGTACGTACCTCACAGGGTTGTGAAGGCAAAATGAGTAAATACCACCAAAGTGCCCAGAGCAGGCCTACACAAGGTAGGTGCTCAATAGATGTTAACCAACACCACTAAGAAAGACACAGCCAGGGCCGGGTACGGTGGCTCACGCCTGTAATCCCAGCACTTTGGGAGGCCAAGGCGGGCGGATCACGAGGTCAAGAGATCAAGACCATCCTGGCCAACATGGTGAAACCCCGTCTCCACTAAGAATACAAAAATTGCTGGGTGTGGTGGTGTGTGCCTGTAATCCCGGCTACTAGGGAAGCTGAAGCAGGAGAATTGCTTGAACCCAGGAGGCGGAGGTTGCGGTGAGGAAACTGCTCCACAGCACTCCAGCTGGCAACAGAGCAGACTCCATCTCAAAAAGAAGAAAAAAAGGTCATGGCCTTCCCATGCCAACCCCCAGAAGCTCCACTTTCAGCAGCCCTTAAGAATCAGGAAAGCCTCTCTGCCACCAATTCCTAATTCCCCACTATTCACCCACACCACCCATCTTCAATTTGGGAAGAGAGACAAGAGAAGAGCTGGACCATCTGGGGTCCCCACAGCCCCCCACCCGCCACAGGAGCGGTGGCTACCGTGTTCCGGATGCAGCAGGTGTAGGGCACCCCGCAGGCCAGGGGGCCGGGAGCGCTGCAGTCGTGGTACTGGTTCTTGCTCCAGTCTCGGTAATCCTCCCCGCCACAGCACTTGAACTGAGGAGGGAAGCAAGTGGGAAAGAGGAGCGGCCGTCATCGCCCAGGCCCCGCTCAGACGACAGGAAGGGGCCCTGCCCACAGATGGCCGCAGTTTATTACGTGGGTCACCTTGGTGCAGGGAGAGGCTGTACGCTTTCAAGTCGGAGCTGTCAAAGTGTGGCATGGCTGCCTAGAGGTTAGCGAACCGCCTGTCACTGGAGAGGTGTCCAAGCCAAGGCCGGGCTGCCCCTTATTGGGATATCGGGATGGCGACTAGACACCGGAAGGAAAAGTCCTTCCTTGACAACTGGCCTCTGCCTTCATCTTCATGTCCCCAGGGCAGGTGCTGGGCTGGAAAAGATGGCCCTTAAAGTCCCAGAGACCAAGCATGATTCTGTGAAAGTCCCAGCACCTCAACTGCCCTTCGTACCCGCCCTAGGAGCCGCCCCGTCCAGCTTGGCTGGCCCTGCCCTTAGTAAGGAGGGCATCTGCACCTCACATCCCGCCTGGGGCTCTCCCCTTAGCCAAGCCCCTCCCTACCTCCCCTCCCTGCTCCTGTAGGAAGTAGTTGGTGACCCTCCTGAGGGCTGATGTGTGCCTGGCATTGTTCTGGGTACTGGAGAGACAGGGTGAGCAAAGCAACGCAGCCCCTGCTCAGGTGGAACGCATTCCAGTGGAGGGACAGAGGGTGAGCACTGGATGAAAAGGTCAGGGAGGCCTTGCTGTGCACCCCGGAATGGAGAAATAGGGGAAGAATGAGGAGGGGCGGCTCTAGGTTGGGAGGTCACAAAAGGGCTCTCTGTAGAGAGGATATTTCATCTGAAACATGGAAACAGAAGAAGCCAGCCGATTCATGCAAAGGCCCCACGCAGAAACAAGCTTGTAGTTCAGCAGCAGGTGCAGAGACCAGCAAGCCTGGAACAGAGAGAGTGCAGAGCATGAGGTTGAGAGGCGGGCACAGGCTGGACCATGTGACCTCCTTTGCCAGCCAGCTGAAGCAGGGAGCTGGGACTGGAGGGTTCAACCAGGGCTGTGGTAGGGGTCCTGGAAGCCAGACACCCTTCCAGAGTCCCCACAGTACCCCTTAAGCTACCAGGTTTTGGGACATGGAAGTGTCTTTCTGC